GGGGCCCCCGGGGGGGGCTCGGGGGGCGGGAGGGTGCCGGGGGGGGGGGGGGGTGTTACAGGGCAGGGATGGAAGAGCTGCCAGAGCATAAAAATCCTCCCAGCAAGAGAGGGGATGGGGAGATGCCAACGTGCAAGGACACCTTGCCCATAAGGACAGCACCTGTGTGCAGGCAGGGAGGGCAGGGTTGTGGACGTCCCAGTTCATCCCCCCATCCCTCGGCCTTGTCTGGGGTGCAGAGATGGGGACAGAGCTGCCCCTGGCACCGCGGTGCAGACTGGAGGATGTCCCCATAGGCAAGCCCAGTCCCCTGGTCCCAGCCCAGCTCTTGCCTCCAACATCCCCCCCCCCAGCACTGGGGTGAGCAGGGACCAAACCCATCCCCAAAACAGTGCCGACCAGCTGCGGGGATGCCAACAGGCACCGGGTGCCCAGCCCCTACCTGCACCATCATGAGGGTCTTGCTGTCGCCGCTGAGGGAGTCCTGCAGCAGGTAGGTCAGCTTGGAGTTGCGGAAGGGCACGTGGCCTTGCCGGGAGCGCAGGGCGTAAATGACGTCACCCAGTGCCGAGAGGGACTTGTTGATGTGCTGTGCCTCACGGAGCCGGCTGCCCTCTGCGCCCGACCGCCCGACCCGCTCCGATCCCGCCAGGTCCACCAGGTTCAGCTTCCCTAGGGACACACAGCCAAACCCCCGCCCCGGCTGGCGTCAGCGCCCGACCCTGCGTACCCCTGGGGATGCCGTGGCCCAGACGCCCCGGTGAGGGGCTTGCCGTCTGGCACCCACCTGTGGTGCGGAGCCCCGTGCTGCGGTCAAGGCCACGGACGGTGACGATGAGGAGGGCATGGGAGCGGGAGCTGTGCTCATTCAGGTTGGTGCACTCCGTCGCCCGGTTGACGTGGCCGAACTCAAAGACCTGGGGGAGCCCAGGGAGGTGGGGGGTGAGGCCAGCCTGCCCCAAACCCACCACAAAGCCCGCCATGACCCGGGGACCCCCGGGACTGTAACCTGAGCTACGGCCCTCCAATGAGGTGCTGGTCCATTGGGGTGATGACTGCTGTCAGGTCTCAGCCTGGGTGACACACCGAAGGCAGAGGGTGACAGGCAGGGCACTGCGGTGACAGCCGGCATCCCACTAATCCCCTGGGAGCTGCTGGGGCCCCACACTTTTATTTTTAACCCCCTGTGGCTCACCCCATGGGACAGTGACCGTTACATCGCACCCAGGGACCTATTTTGGTCTCTGTCACTCCCCGGTACTTCAGAAATGCTCCCGAATCGGGGGGTCACACCAGCGACACTCCCCCCCTCCCCCAGTTCATCATGCCACCCTCCTGCTCCCACCGCCCCCCCATCTCCCTGCACCTTGTTGATGTCCTCCACGCTCTGCACCCTGAACTCGGTCAGCCCAGGCACGTAGAGCTGCCCACTGCCATCGGGGCACAGCTTGATCTCCAGCTTCTCCTGTGGCTCCTTCCCCAGCAAGTCCCTGGGCAAAGGGGTACCTGTCACCATCCCCAGGCCGGGGGGATGACAGGAGCTGGCTCCCCTCTGGCACGGCATCCCCACCGCGGCTCAGGGCTGTGTGCCAAGGCTGCCAGAGCAGCCGTATCCTCCTGGGGATGCTGCACATCCTATTTGTAGGCCTTGGCTCTCCAGCTCCCCATGTGCCCGCTCCCACCCAACTCGGACCACGCTCCCATCCCTGCTCTTTATTGCCATTCCCAGTCCCCATTATCCACACGGATGCGCTTGCAGCCTCATCCCACCCCCTCCTGCCTGCGGCTGGGCAGGGGAGGAAAATATTTCTCATGCTCCCAGTCAGTTATTTCTAAATATAACATCCGGGGGAGCAGGGGCAGGGACGAGAGGGGGATGCCCCAGCCGCTGCATCAGGGCCAGGGAAGCAGGAGCGATGGCAGGGCTGGGAGCCTGTATAAGTAATGGAGCTCGAGGGAGGGTGCTTTGCAAGGGCGGTGTGCACTGAAAAATAATTAAAAATAAATCCTTGCACGGCCAAATCCAGCGCCCAAGGCCCTGGGAACAAGCTGTGCAGCCAGGGCAGGGCTGGTAGGACGGGGAGGAGAGCAGCATGGGGTGATGCCCACCGATGCCAGCTCCCCAGCAGCTCCGCTCACCCCACCAGAAAGTTTTTCCCCCCTTCCCTGTACCTGAGCGCCTCATTGTAAATTTCAGCGGCGCTGACGCTGATGGCATAGTCCCAGTCGGCTGCCTTGCTCCGCACCTCGGAGAAGAGGAGCTGCAGGGCTCGCTGGTTGATTCCTGGGTTGGCTGCTGTTCCCTGATGGATTGGGATGATTAATGGGGGGTGGGAGAAAACACCCTCTGGCATTTTATTCTGCATTTTTTTTCCTGAGCAGGAGTAAAGCCCAGGGCGGTGTTGCGGAGAGCTGCACAAACCCCTCAAGAGCAGCAGTGACCATCACTGGTGCACCCTGGGTCAGAGCTGGCCACCAGCCTGGTTAGGGGAGGGTGCCAAGACTGGGCACCACAGAATGGGAAGCCAAGGAAGAAGAGGGAAGCAAAGCCAGGCAAATTCACCTCCATTGTGTAGGTTTTTCCTGCCCCCGTCTGCCCGTAGGCGAAGATGCAGACGTTGTAGCCGTCGATGCAGGAGGTGACCAGGGCTTGAACCTCCTGAAACACCTGGGGGGGGGGAGGGGGGTGGACCGGGGAGCGTCAGGAGAAGGTGGCTGCATCCCCCCTTCATGCAGCAGCGTGGATGGCAGAACCCACCTCCTCCTGGGATGCTTGTGGGGGGAAGACCTTATCCAGCTCGAAGGACACCTGCTTCCCCTTGTGCAGGAGGTGCAGGACAGCATCATCATCGGCGTCGAAGGTCAGCGCGTTGGCTGCCTCCGGGCCCTCGCCATCCTCCTTTGTGATGGGGCGGACTCGCCCAAAAACACGGATGTTTCCTTGGGGGGGGGAATGCAGGGACGGTGTCAGCCCTGGCACATCCTGCTGCCACCCTCGGTCACCATCAAACACCGGGTGGGCTGAATGCTGCAGCTTGCTGCTGACCAAAGCATCCTATCACCGACCCAACCAAGCATCTCATGGGGATGCGGAGCACCCAGGTCATGGTGCTGGGGTGCAGCAGAGTGATGCTCTCCTGTCCCTCCTGCCCTCCCCCTCGGGGACATACTCTCCAGTGATGGGACCTGCCACCCTTCTCACGCACCTTTCAGCCGCACCAGCTCGTTGTGACACTTCTTGCGGAGCTGCAGCTCCCGCCGGTACTTGCGCAGCAGCTCCCGGTTGGTGCTGTGCACCTCCTCGATGGCCTGGCCGATCTGGGGGGGCGGATGGAGAGCAGCGGCTCAACGACCTTCACAGCATCCCCACCCCACACAGCGGAGAGCCGGGGTAGCGGTCCCAAGGGGCTCACCTCGGCCCTGGCGCTCCGCAGGGTCTCCTGGAGGAGCAGGGGGAAATCGCGGACCTGACGCTTCAGGCTGTTGTAGTCGTGGGTGAGGGTGCGCAGTGCCGGCTGCAGCGTCAGCAGGTTGGTCCGGACACCTGCAGGCACGAGGCCGGGTGAGGGGCAGGTAGCACAGCCCCCCAGCACCGGCCAGGTGACCCTGCGAGTCCCCCACCCTCTCCTCACCCGCCAGATTTTCATGCACCGCCTTCATCTCCACTTGGGCACGGGAAAATGCCTCTTCGATGGCGCGGTTCTTCTCCTCCTCCATCGCCTGCATCTCCTCCAGCATCTGCCCATGGGCTCGCTCCAGCTCGGCCTCATACATCATGATCTGGGAAAGGAGCAAGGGGGGGTATCACCAAGCTGGTGACCACCTGCTGCCACGCCACATCACCCGGCGAGCACCACGCAGACAAGAACTGCCGTGGAGCCGGGCAGGGTGATTTCTGATTTACACCCGTTGCACTCAGACCTGAGCTCGGAGCTGAGCCGCCGTCTTTTGGGAACTCTGCAGCTGCTGCTCCATCTCCTTCAGCACCTGCCTTTGCATCCCCACCTGCTCCTGCAGGTACTGGTTTCGGGACTGGCTCTCGCACAGGGCTTGTTTTGCCTTGGCTGACTCCACCTCCACTGTCTTGATGATGTACTGGGAGGAAAAGCACCCATAGATGGGGTGTACTGGGAAAGCAGCACCCAGGATGGAGCCAGTGTTGGCCCGAGGGGGTTGATTTACAAAATCACGATGCTGCGCTGATATGGTCAGGGCAGTGGGATGGGTGGCACTTGCAGAGCACCTGCTGGGCACCGCTAGGCACCCAGCCCAGGTCCCCCTGCCCCTCCAGGAGAGATGGAGAGCCCCATGGCACTCACCTTTATCTGCTGGGGCTGGGACTTGAGGCTGGCAATGGTCTCCTGGCTGTCCCGCAGCCGACGGCTGAGCCGCTCCTCCTCCTCGGCTCTCTCGGCCAGGGAGTCCTTGAGCCGCAGCTCTACCTCGGCCAAGCGGTTCGTCTTCTGCTGCACCTCCAGGTCCAGCTCCGCCAGCTTGGCCCGCATCTCCTCCGCCTCCCGCTGCAGCTGGGACAGCCGCTCCTGCAGCCCAGCGTTCTCCTGGCCCCGAAACAGCACAGCCGCGGCCGCGTCACCCCCGGGGTACCCATCAACCTGCCACCACCGCCGCCACCGCCGGTGACTCACCTGGAGGTGGGCGCAGTCCCGGCACGGTGCCTGCTGCTGCCGCCGCAGCTCCCGCAGCTCCCCCTCGCACGCCTTCATCTCCTGCCGCAAGCGCTCGTTCTCGGCCGCCAGCAGGTCCCGGTGCTTCTCCGCATCCGTGCCACCCTGCCGAAGGGAGAGGATGGAAGCCTGCTGCAGTCCGGGGAGCCCCTGCCTGCAGCATCAGGGGACCCCCAGCCTGCTGTGTCGGGGAGCGCCAGCCTGCTGCACCCCAGGGAGCCCCCAGCCCACTGCACCCAGGGGACCCCCCACCTGCCACACTGGGGACCCCCCAGCCTGCTGCATCAACGAGCCTCCGGCTGCTGCCCCCGGGGAGCCCCTGGTCTGCCACACTCAGGGAGCCCCAGCCTGCGGCACCAGAGGAACCCCCAGCCTACCAGGTCAGAGAGCCCCCGCTGTGCCCAGGGAGCCCCCATCCTGCCGTCAGAGAGCCCCTGCTGTACCCAGGGGGGGCTTTCGCTTCCCACCACAGGGCGACAGTGTTGGGGGGGCCTTTGCCAGCTACGCCCCACGGATACTGGTTGTGATATTGCATTGGACAGAAAATCCCACAAACTTTCGTCTCAATGGCTCTGTCGCGGCTCGCAGGGTCCAAACCATGACCCTGGGGAGGTTTTAATCCTACCCCTTCCCTGCCTGCCCCCTTCCTCCTCAGGGAGCCACAGCTCCGGCATCCCCTGGGGCAAGGCTGGCTCAGCCCAAGCCCGGTGGCAGCTCACCAGCTCCGAGCGCAGCCGGCTGATCTCCTGTGCCTGCTCCAGGAGCTTCGCCTTCAGAGTTTCAACCTGTCAACACAGGCAAGGTTAACCAGGAGGCATCTCAGCAGCTTTTGGAGGAGACCCCGTGGTGCCACCCCGGCCACCAACGTCCAGTCTGGCTCGCACCTTTGTTATGCCTTAATTTTCCACCTCGCTCTGAGCACCTGATTCATATGAGCTGATTAAAATGAGCGTTAATGAAAGCCTTGCTTCGACCTTGTTCAACCGTGGCTATAATTTGTCCATGTTGAGCATTAGCAGAAACCATTATTAAAAAAAAAAAAAAAAGCATCGTCTTTGGAGAAGGAAAAAAACAAACCTATCCATAACTGTGTTTAAAGAGCCAGGAGCACCTCATCCTGCCCTTGCAACACAGCTTTGCTTTGCCTTCTCTATTTTTCTTTCTAGGAAAGTTATCTTGGGAGAAAGAGGGAGCAGGAGCTCTTTGAGAAGTCCACGTGTCCGAGTCCAAGGGGAGGATGCTCCCCAGCCACTCCTGCCTGGGCAGCTGCCCATCCCATGGGGACCAGGCCATCCTCCCTGCAAAACCAGGTGGATTTCATAAATCCTCCAATTTTTTGTGCAGGGACCAGTGAGGCGCTCAAAAAAATATGCAGTTATTCAAAATAACAGTGGCAGCGAGTGCTTAGCAAAGCCAGTGGTCTTGTGGGCTGTGTTTTTATGGGGTCTGCCTGCCCGCTCTGTCCCTCGGCCCTGTGCCCAAAAACCGATGGCCACTGGGCAAGTATTGCTGCTTCCCCAAAACTTACCCTGGAGAGAGCTGGACCTGGCTGCACGCTTCACCACCGTCCCCCAGATCCCAGCTCAGTTCCCAGTTTCCCCACGCCGGGAAGCCGCCGTGCCGCCAAACCCCTCACCCGGATGCGGCAGGCTATTTCCCCATCGAAATAACCAGCTTTTTCTAAGCAACCGGGTCTCCATGGACCATAATTTAGGAACTGCTGATTAATAACAAATGCAGATGTGCTGACATGGTGCCGTAATTAATGACGATAAGTTATTAAGCCGCACCCTTACGGAGACGGCAGCACGGCGGGCGAGCACGTCCTGTGTGGCCCCGCGCGCTCGGCAGGGAACAGCCAGGGGCTCCGCAGGCGAGCTCCGCGCGCTTACGGCCACGATCTGGGGAAGGCAGCTGCTCCCTGCCGGCATCGGGAACCCCCCTCCCTCCACAGTGGGGCTCCCTGGCTCCGGCTGGGGGGCCGAGCGTGTGCCGAACACACCGGCCTTGCTCTTGAGTGGGAAAATCCCATTTCCATATTCAGTAAGGTAGATTATTAAGGTTTTTGGTTTTTTTTTTAAAGTATTTTTAAAAGAGGGGAAGGACCAAGAAGACCAAGTCATGGCTTGTTGCGGGGAAGCTGCCACCCCAGCTGGCCAACACGCACGCCGGAGCCTGCCCACCGCTCCCCATGCCAGCGGCACCCGAAAATGCCAATACACCTCTATCCCCTACCTGCTCGGGCACCTCCAGCTGCATCCTGCTCTCTGGAGGTGACAGGGACTCCTTGGCAGCCGGATCTGGCTCGAGCCGTGGCCCGGCCATCCCTGAGCTTTGGAAGTCTGGGTCAGTGCTTCGCTCTGGCCGGCGTTGGCTGCGCTTGCTGCCGAACTGGCTGGTGCAGGGCCGGATCCTGCTAGCGCTCACGCTTGTGTCATGCAGAGTATGCCAACCAAATGCAGGACAATTACCTCCACCTTTTTGACACCAGTGGAACAAGCAGAACCTGACTGTAACAGCTTCCACAACAGCCACATGCAAATCCCTTTACGAGCAGCCGGAATTTCAATCTCCCTGGGACGACCCGGGTCCTTGTGCCGAGGATGCAGCCACACTGGCGCAGGAGATGGCTTTTGGGGGGGTTCTGGTGGCGGTGGCCAAAATGCTCTGCCCTTTGGCAGACAGCTCTGTGCCTTCACATTCACTTTCCACCTCCTGACTCTCAAAAGTCACTAAAATTAATCTGCTGGGTTGGTCTAACGAGCTTATCCAGCAGTGGCGGCCCTGCGCTGGGTGGATGGATGACTGCCGCGGGGCTCTGACCCCGATGCCCAAAGCCCTCCTGGCCGCATCATGTCCAAGGAGCCGCACGCCTTCGCCGGCATTATTGCAGTGTCACCGTCATGCCAATCGGGGGGCTGTGAGCATCCCGAGGGAGGCACAGCCAAAGCTGGTGGGACAGCCATGGTACCCAGGAGCACCCAGCTCCCCGATCATCCCTATGCACCTGAGCGAAGATGATGCTCCGTGAGGGAGGTCATATGCTCTTTCCAAGCATGGTCGTCACTAACCGCGAGCCACGGTGCTCCGGCCAAGCCGCAGCCTGAAGTTGGAGACCCTGACAGACCCCCTTGTGTCCCCCTGTGCCCACGGTACCTGGCCTTGCAGCTGGAGAGAGCGGGAGAGCTCGTCGTTCTCCCGGGCAGCGAGCTTCTCCTGCAGCCCCAGCAGCTCCTCCTGCAGCTGCAGCTTCTCCTCCTGCAGATGCGCCATGGAGGCCATCACCTTCTGGATCACTGGGAAGGGTCGGGCCGCTGGCAGGCTGGCACGTTTCCCGCTGCAGAGCCTCCCTCCTGCAGTGGGAGGAAGGATGAAGCTGGTCAGGATCCAGCTGCCTCGCTGGGGAACAGGATGACAGTTATGGGAAGAGTCCCCAGGGGATGTGGTGGAGATGGAACAATGGGAAGCGAGACTTGCAGAAGTCCCACGGAGAGCAGTGACGTGCCAAGAGCTGCATCCTGAGTGCCACGGTACTGACCACAGCCGGCCGGGCGAGCCCCTGTGGCGGAGTGGGAGCCAAAGGGATCTGCCGATGCCAGCATCCCAGGCCGTAAGACAGAGCGCCTGCCTACAGCACCGCGCCAGGACCCAGCCCCATCACGCACCGAACTGCTGCCGCCTCACTCAGATAACAACCGCCTTCGCCACGGCGCTCTGATTCATCCCGGCATCGTTTTTTCTGAATGAGCAGGTGCCGGTGGAAACCAGTACGCGATCATGTTATTAAAGACTGCATCGTTACACACAAATATAATGGAAGCCAAATTAAAATTATATGGGTACCCTGAATGGCCGTATTGCCTAATCCTTGTGCGTTTGGCTTTCTAACCTTCCTAGTATTATTTTAAACATCGTTTTCTGTGTGTTAATAGAGCCACCGGTGCTGACAGAAGCCAACCTGGCTGTACATCAGAGCCTACCAAATGAACCCCTAAATGACTTGGTAGTTCCCAAGAAGAAATGAGCTGGCCTGACTCATTCCCAACGTGGGGATGAGGCATGGTGGCGGGCGAACCGGTGGCCAGGATCCCGGCTGCCCGGCGCCCTTCCCTGTCTGCCATGGATTTCATCCGCTGCCACCAGAAACTTGAGGTTTTAAAGGCAGGAGGTGATGCTGGGAGTTGCTTTGCTGCCTGTGGGCAGATGCTGCCTGCTTTATGGGAAACATTCTGAATACAAGAAACAAGACTTTTTGTCTGTGAATCAGATTTTCTACCTCTAAAAGGAGATTAAGAGCCAGCAGAGGGGGCAAAAAATGAAATGCTGGGACCAAACCATGGCTCCGCTGTTGACTGTGTGCTGTGGGACTTATCTGGCAATGTCTGCAGAAGCGATCACCGGATTTTGTCTCCCTGCCTTGGGCTGGATACCCTGAAAGAGCACTGACGGGCGGTGGCTTTTCTTTTTTTCCATGCTGAAAGCTCAGCCGAGCTCAGGCAGGTGACTGTGATGTTCCCTTTAAACCCAGCACACACAAAACCCACCCCAAAACTCCTAAAGTTAACAGGAACGCCAGCTCTTGCCCCTTGGGGAGCGTGTAGGGATAAGACAAGATTACAGGAGGCACCAGGGCTCCTGCGGAAACACCACGTGTCTGCACACATCATCCAGGCTAATCCCGGGCTGGGACCGAAGGCTTCTGCAGAGCTGGGTTCAAAGCCACAACACCCGGCTGCAAGTAAAACTGTCGGGCAGGAGTGATCCCGCACAGATAACGTGCTCCTCCTTGCTCCAACACCTTCCTCCTGCAAGAGCATCCTTGTGAGAGGAGGTGCCGGCCAGACCTGCATTACATCTACCACCAGGCAGACATGCTGGTGGCGATGCGGGATCTGAGCACGGCACGCACACCCTCCTGTTTTCCAAAATGCTTTGAAACCCATTCGGAAAGGTGTCCGTTTCCACGGCTCTGCCCTGTTACCATTGCCACGCAGACTCCCTTCCTCCTACATCCCTGCCTCTTCCCACCAGCCACCCCGCACCAGGAGCTCCTCGGGGATGCAGCCAGGGACCATATGGGGAGCAGCTCCCGGGATGTGCCCTGACAAGCCTGGACAATTCAGTCCTGACGGAGAAAGATGGGAAACCATGGGGATTCACCAGCCCTGGCACAGCCATGCATGCTGCAAGTGTTTCCACAAATGTTACATTTTCCTTAAGAGGGAGAAAAGAGCGGTGGGTTTGCTGACACTCACGTGCTCTGTTCACCCAGTTAAATAATTCTTCGGTCACCTGGCATCATCCGACAGCTGGCTGGTGTTTGATTTCTACTGAGACCCTGGTGAGCGCAGCCGTGTGTCTATGTGCACCCCGAAAGAGGAGAGGTCCCCCTGCTACCTGCCAGCAGCACCAGGTACCCATCCCATCGCATCCCTCCTCCTGAGCACCTGCCGCTGTATCCCAGCTTCCCCTTACCTGCTTTCTCCAGGTTCATGGTGGAGGCTGCCTGCACCGGCCTGGCAGCTGCCGGCTCACGGGGGGACGCCAGTGGCTCCTCCGTGGCCAGTGTTGGGGCCTGGCGCCGGCTCTCCTCCCTCCGCTCACCCGCCGCCTCCTGCAGGGCCTGTGTCCGTGAGAAGAAACAGGACGGAGAGCTGAGATGCATCAAACGTGCACATTGTTGTGGACACAGTGCCGGCAGCTGGCATTTCACCGAGCTGGCCAGGAGAAGCAGGCAGGGAGGAGGTCGCAGAGGACAGGACAGCGGGGGGATACCAGGTGGGAAACCCTCCCTCCGAGGGATTTTAGTGTCAGGAAGCTGCCGTGATGAATTTATCACCTTGCTTTTAGTTCTCCCCAGAAACACCTCCTTCCCTCAGCTTGATCATGCAGTTACACTGAATTTCACCTATTTTTCTCTCTATAGCCTTAAAATAAAAGACCCTGGCTTGCAGGCAAGGTTGAATGTGAAGTTGCTCGCTGGCGAGCCATGGCGCAGGTAATGCCATGCCCTGTGGGATGGAGCACAGCTCTGAAAAAAACAGAGAAGAAATCTGGAAGGAGGGAAAGGAATATAGAGAAGGTCCCAAATTTCTGTATCTATCACATCTATCACTGGCTTGCAGGGAAAAAAAATAAATCTGGTTTTTTTAATGACCATTTAAAAAAGCGTTACGGCATGGATGCTTTCAGAAAGCTGCACTGCCGATCGGCTGAGCTTGCAGAATTGCTCCCTGCCTCACTCAAAAGTGCCTTTTCTTACTTATATCTTATTTCAGAGCCCGTGGCATTGACCTGCGGATCAGCAATGCTGGGGAAACCTGCCTCACCCCAGCAGAGGGGTGAATACTCAGTACATGCCAAATTTCTGAGAGCAATTTGGAAGGAGGTGATGGTAGCAGCCTCCTGGAGAAGCTGCGTGTCTGTGGTGCCTCTACGTTTGAGACTCCGGGAGGGTTTCGCCGGAGGGAATGCATCAAGGCTGGTGTGAGATAAGAAGGTGCTTTCCTTCTTTTCAAAGAAGGGGAATTTAAATGATTTGCCTGAAGCCCAGAATGAACTGGTGGCAGCAACAGCAGTACATGGCGTCCTGACACTGTCCCTGGCCAGGGAAGCCTTCCTCCTCCTCCATCCTGCTGGCAAACACCATCTCACGGCACTGCATTTTCTTATCACCCTTCTGCCTTGAGCTCTCCTGCCTACCTGACCCAGAAGTGACCGAGAAAATACTATTCCGGGCTGTTCTCTGGCATTTTTTGATGCCTTCCAACTTCCTGGAAATGCTCTTCCCTCCCCACCCAGGCAGCAGCTCTGCGCTCTGCTCGAGGCATGCAGCACCAGGGCTGCGGTGATGGGGGGGACCAGCCAGCTCCCACAGCGAGATGGCCCAGCAGGATGCTTCCCACCACCCCAAAAACGCCCTCCCCACCCAAGCCAGGGCCAGCTCAGCGCTCCTCACCTGGAGAGCCAGGCAGAGCCTCTGGGAGTTTGCAGCGTCCGGCCAGCTCACGCGGAGGATTTTATGGTGAACAAGCTTAGGCAGCAGAGGAACCTGGGGAGAGGTGCCCGCTCCACTCCCGGTGATGAGTGTGTCCTGCCCACAGCCTGAAATGGGGCAAAAAGCATCACTGGATCAACCCGAGACCCCAGGATGGACACAGCCTTCGGCCTTGCTCAGCAACCCCACTTCCTCCTCCCTGCCACCGCTGCCACTGCACTGGTGCGGAAGAGACTGTGCACGAGTTTTATTAAAAATGTTAATTAAGTTAATTAGAAAAATTAGCCCTTCAGGGGGTGGAGACTGGTTGCCAATGACTAGTAATGAGAATTCAAGGTGTAGCATCCGTCTGTCCTCTGCAGGACCAGATCTGTCCCCCTGCTGGGGACATCCCACGCCTGCCCCTCGCCAAGCCACTCCACTTCCCACGATCCTATCTCGAAAAAGCTGCCAAAGCCGGCTTGCATCACCGAAACCAGACGGACGGACCCTGCCGGCATCACCTTCCTCCACTGCCCCCAAATATTTCCTTTATTTGTCATGCAGTCAAACCCAAAAGCAGACAGGGCAGCAGTTCCCTGTCCTTCTGAGCCACACAGAAGGAAAACAGCATCTCAAGGACCTTTTTCCTGTGGCTGTGTCCTCCTCTGCTACGGGAAAAGCAGCTGGCGAGGGCTATGTCCCAATGGGACCTGCTTGGGGACCCTGTGCCCCCTCCCCATCCACCTGCCACAAGCACTGCCACCACTGCAGGCAGCCAAATGGCTTCTCTGGCAGGCAGGAAAAAAAATCAACAACCTACAAATAAAACCCCACTAATGCAGGGGTTGTTTTTTTCCCTAAAATCATCCGGAGGCGCTTGGGCCTGAGGTGGAAGCAGCATGTGGAGGGAGATGTGCCCTGATGAAATCAGTCCATCGCTCTGGACTTCTTCCCAGCCTGTAATTAGCCATAACATTTCGCGCGCGCCGTGAAAATCGAGTGTTTCCAAAGCGCTGGCGGATGCCCAGATAAGAGGCGATGAGTTTCCCATCCCAGCACGGGCGGTGGCAGCCGCCAAGCAGAGGAAGCGCTGAAAAACTCCGTTTTCGGAGGCTTTGAAGCCGATTAGGCCAGGGAAGAAGCAGCACCCAGATAAGCGGCTGCCAGCACATAGGGATGGCGAACACTGAAACCAACAGCAAAAAAAGCCCAGACGGCGGGGTTCAGCCTCCCCCTTTGCCGAAACCCATCCAGCACCACCGAAGAGGGAGGTGGGAAGGGCTGTTTCCCGACAAGTGGCTGC